CTATGAGTCAGAACCGACTCCACGGCACATAACCACCACCATCACAGATTGATGGTTAAAGAATCATGAAGATCTAACTAAAATAGAAGAAAAACCCCTCTGAAGCAAACTCCACTCAGTCAACCACAAATGTAAGATTATGCCAACATTATACCATGAAGAGATAATGAAAATATACAGTAAATGAAAGCAAAACAAAACCTACTATAGTGAGCAATCAAGGAGCCATCATGGTGCTGTGGGTTAAGCTTTAACGCTGATAGTTCAAACCCACCAGCTGCTCCAAGGGAGAAAGATGAGGCTGTCTGTTCCCATAAAGATCAACAGTGTCAGAAACTCTTTATAGTGTCACTATGTATGAGTCAGAACAGACTCAGTGGAAGTGGGTTTGGTTTATAGCTCACTGTTTTGTTTTAGCGCCATCGAGCAACTGGTGAGTTTGAACCACTGACCTAACAGTTCAAACTGTCGGTGTGGTCCAGTGCTTATCCTACAGTGAGGTATAAAAAGGACAACAACAACAACAATTTACTATTATATGCATATTTTGTTACAAAAAATTCTGATGGGGTCAGTAAGGAATCAAAGAAAACAAATTACGCACAATGAGGCTTTCATCTTTACAACATAGGTGACGTCGTGATATAGCAAACAAAATGCCAAGAACATGGTGACCAAGATAAACATACTTACTGGGGAAAACCACATCACTTTAAGAATCCAAACTGTAAGAGCCAAATTCACAACTAGGATGATGAGTAAAAGAAGTACAAATAAGTAGAGGCAACGCTTCCTCCAGCCATAAATGCCAATTTTGTAGACACACTGATCCTCTGGCCTCTCTATGTGCGTGCCTTCTGTGGCTGTAGTGTATTGCTCACGTACCATCTGTTACAAGAGAGAGAGAATGAGAAATAACAGTGTTCATAAATACTGGTTTGCTACAATCCTAACAAAATAATAGATTTTTACTCCAATAATAAAATTCCAGAAGTAATGATTTTCAAAACAGAGTTCAATATGACTTCAAAAAGTGCCCCAGTATTGGCAAGATAAATCTGTCATTTAAAATATATCAGATATGACACACTTATTTGAAATTCTGTGATCGTATTTGTCAGGTTTTAATCCATCAATTCTCTATAAGTAGAGCTTTCAAAGTTTTGCAGGACTTAAACCTGGAATTGAGACAGCAAGTTATCAAGCTCTTAAAAGATCAGTGGGAGAAGAATAAAACTAGTTCCCTGCAGATATGGCTCTGGTGGCACAGGGGTTAAGTGCCCGGCTGATATGCCAACCAAAAAGTCAGCAGTTCGAACCCACCAGCGACTGCATGGGAGCATGCTGTGGCCCTCTGGTTCTGTAAAGATTAGTACTTTGGAAGCCTTTTTGGATAGTTCTACTATGTTCAATGCGTCAGAATATACTGAACATCACTGGGGGTTTGGTTTACCCCATCTTTCTTTAAAAGGATAGAATCAGATTACTCAATAAAGGAGCCTCATTAGCGTAGTGGATTCTGAGCCAGGCAGCCAACCGCCAGGTCAGCAGTTCCAATCTGCCAGTCATCCCACAGGAGAAAGATGAGGCTTTCTGATCCCATAAAGATTTAAAGTCTTGGAAACCCTTTACAAGGTTTCTATGAGTTGGAACCAACTTGGTGGCACACAGCCATCACCAACTTCAATCAGCACCAGATCAGAACCAGTAACTTTTCCCAGTAATAAAGTTCCAAAGTATTGATTTATCTCAGGAAAGATAAAAATATGGATGTGTGTATGCAAATTTTTAGCACATTGTTGTTGTTAAGTGCCATAGAGTCGGTTCTGACCCATAGCGACCCAGTATAGGGTTTCCGAGGAGCAGCTGGTGAGCTTGGACCGCTGATCTTGCAGTTCAAACGGCTTTTCAGTTTGGCGCATTAACCCACACCACTACACCAGGACTCCTTTTAGCACATTAGGCTTGTGTAAACCTGGGTAAGAATTTTAGTCATAATTTCAACTCCATGAAGAGATTTAAAAAACTAAGCAGTCATCTTTCCCTTGACACAAAGAAAAATTAATTGGGTATAATCTGTTAAATGAAGATTAGAGATTATGCAACTTTTCTGATAGCGAATTTCATGATACAATGAAATGTAATATAAAATATTCTCCTCTGGGATTTTTATGAGAAGGTTAAGCATTATTTATTTATTTATTTATTTTTAAAGAATGTCTCTAAGGTGCTCTTGCTAAAAAACAAGTTATGGGCCAAAATAATTCTCCAAATCGCTCTAATTCAACAATAGATCATTTATCAAGTTCTAAATGATTGTAGGAAAATTGTGTCATTCTTTACACAATATTTTCAAATGCCCGGGTCATACAGTCTTCATTATTTAAAACCTAAATGTTTAATGATTTCATTAGGACATTATTTATTTTAACTCCTCCAATCTTCTCTATATTAAAAAGCTCACCTTCATCCAGTTGCTCCAGCCACAGTCCCAGAAATCATTTTTGCTTCTTTTTTCTTCCCCTTAAGCCCCACATCAGCAGATCTTTACAACTCTACCTTCAACACACCCGAGACTACCACTTCCCTCATCTTAGTTGCTGCCTCAAGTTCAAGCCACCATGGCATCTTCATTCCTTCTCCTCTAAACACCATTAGCTACACAGTAGCCAAAGTGTAAACTGTAAGTCAACTCCTCTAACTATTATTTCTAGCCTCCCATTGGGCATTCCCAGTCTTGTGCACCCTACAAGACCCTATTTGGTCTGGTCTCTGCTTACCTCTTTGACTTCATCTACTATCTTCTTTTGACTTCACTAACTACCTTCTTTATCTATTACTTTCTTCCTTAGACTTAATTTGCTAGCTTCTTCCAGCTGCTACCTTCTTCCTTTGACTTCATCTGCTACTTTACCTTTGACTTTTAATGGTCCATCTACTTTTTCAAAAACAAACACACAAGTAACAAAATGAGTTGCAGTCAATTGATTTCAACTCACAGAGAATCATGTGTGTCAGCATAGCCCTATGTTCCGTGGACTTTTCAGTGGCTGATTTTAGAATTAGATCACTAGACCTTTCTTCCAATACACCTCTGGGTGGATTTGAACCACCAATCTTTCAGTAGCTGCCAAGTGCTTAACCAAGTGCAACTCAGAGAGTCCACTTTTTACTAGGCCAGGCTTGTTCTCATATGAGAGCTTTGTACTGACCATTCTTTCCACTTGGCTTGCCCTGTGGACTCCTCCTTATCTTTCTGGAAGTAGTTCATGCGCCACTGCCTTAAAGACACCTTCAGTGGACACTCCCCATCACGTGACCGTTATCTGCGGTAACAATGGCAGCCCCTGATCTCTCGGGAAAGGATAGGCTGGGGGGTGGGCCAAGTGAGTCTAAATGTAAAGCCAGCACATTGTTATTACTGCGATTAGCTGTCCCAGCTTGCTGTGCAGTGAACGATTTCACATGTCTCTTCTGGCTGTGTCTTTGTAATGCCCACCAAAGGACTGCAGTTCAAATTGACCTTGTAGCCCAGTGCCTTAACCCACAGCACCACAGCAAGACCCCACATATGCAAATATTTTCATTGATATCTAGCAGGTTACATGTAGCTGAAGAGTCCGCAGTTTGGAAGATGTGTCTTAGAAAACAACATAAAGACACAGAAACCATAAAGGTGATTTTCAAGGACACAGCTTTTGTTTCTTGCTGTATCTTCCATCTCAGTCTATATAACTCTGACGGTAATATTCCCATCTCTTTAACCCTACCTGGTATGGCACTGTGAGTTAATGCGCTGGACTGCAAAGTCGGTTTGAACTGCAATGTTGCTGATTCAAGCTCACCAGTTGCTCCTTGGAAACCCTCTACAGGGCCGCTATGCGTCAGAACCGACTCTATGGCCCTTAACAACAACAACACTTCTTGGTGTGGCACAGTAGGGTCAGCACTGGACTGCGAACCACAAGGTCAGCAGTTCAACCTGCCAGATGCTCTTTGGGAACCCTATAAATCGGAATTGACTCAATGGCACTTAACAGAAACAACCCTTCCCCACAAGAATCCTACACTCTGATTCACATCACATCAAAACAACACTTTGGGCATCCTTGTTGGACGCAAATCATGCTCCTTTTTAATGTTCTCTGAGTTTGGGGAACAAAAAAATGTCTGAAGGGGCAAGAACAGGGATGTAAGGTGGATGGGGCCACGTTTCTCATGAGCATCTTGGGAAATGGCCCTTGGGACCCTTCAAGTTAAGCACATGCATTGCCTTTATGATGGAAACAAATTACTGAGTGTAAATTTCCTGACCTCTTTTCACCAATGCAGTTTACCATTTTCTTAAAAACTTTTTATTGATAAGCCCCCATTACCATCCTTGTCCTTTGAAGACAATCTACTAATACTATCCCTTGAGGACTTTCTGAGCTGACATTTCTGCCTTGAATTGAACTGGCCCAACATATCCCCTCAGAAGCCATTGTTTTGACAAAATTTCTTTTTTTTTGGACACATTAATGGTAAGGACCAAATTTCCAAAGAAATTTGGAAGACAACTATCTGGCTGACTGATTGGAAGAGATCATTCCATTCCAAACAGAGATGACTCAACAGAATTCGGAAATTATCGGACAATTTTTTGATATCCCATGTGAGTAAAGTTTTACTAAAGGTAATACAGAAATGGCTGCAAGCATACATTGACAGAGAACTTCCAGAGGTCCAAGCTGGATTGAGAAGAGGTGATGGAACGAGGGATATCATTGCTGATGTCCGATAGATCTTGGCTGAAAGCAGAGAATACCACAAAGTTCTTTACCTGTGCTTTATTGACTATGCAAAGGCTTTTGATTGTGTGGATCATGACAAGCTATGGACAACATTGTGAAGTATGAGTATTCTGAAACACTTAATTGTG